AGTCGCAGTACTAAAGACAGTAAAGCTATCCTTGAAGCAAAGCACAATCTATGTTTCCAACAGATTGGGAATGAGATGAAAGCTGATTATGAAGAGCACGACGCTATTCTGATCGCTCGTTGCATGACGCAGATCAAGGCCAAGATCAACACTGATGAAGGTCTGAACTTCATATCCAACAGTATTACATCTACCAAGGACTGAAGAAGTTTGATGATGGAAAGGGTGCTTTGGATAAGGAATTGAGACAAATGCTCCTGAGAGATCCACTCCCAAATTTGTTAAAGATATGACCGCGTCTGAGCGAAAGAAAGCCCAATCAGCGATGATGTTACTCGCGGAGAAGCAATTTGAAAAGACAATTAAAGGTCGCCTAGTATACCAAGGCAATGGAACTTGTGAATGGTTATCGCAAGAGGACACTGCAAGTCCAACTGCTTAGTAAGAAGCAATCACCACTATTTGTGTTATTGATGCACACAAAGGTAGAGATATAATGTCGATGGATGTTCCTAACGCTTTCATTCAAAGTTATATGCCTGGAACACCCGACAAATGCAGACCGAGTATTTTCGGGACACTGGTCGCAAAGTTTGACGTGCTCGTGCCCGGAGATATAAAATTATATTCTTAGGCCGAAAACTCTGTGGGATTCCCTTTATTTTCATTTCCGCTGCTATCATGTTGTATCATGGATACCTACTGCAGCATCAGCTTCATTGACAGCATTTACCAACAGTATCCACAGGTATCCTGCAAAAAGAGTCGTCCATTCATGTTTGCACCTGCCACAAATCGAAAGATCCTCAATCTGAAAAGAAGCCATCGGAAACAACGACAATGACCACCAAATCTACTTCCGGCTACAAGGCCGAAGTCAAACAATTCCAGCAGCTCCATGAAATCTTCGCCGATATGCAAGTTTCTGAGCAGCAGAGATTGCTGATTTTGTCGACTCTGATGATAGCGACAACATCTATGACTGAGAGAACAGAACATAGATTTTAATTGGAATGATAAACGAGCTAGTGAACTGTGATTTGAAATATGCTACCTTTATAATAGTACTTTGCTGTCATTTTAAAGTTGACATTTAGTGTTCTATCAAGCATTTATGTGATGCTTACGTGTGAAAGTCTGGGTGTACTCGTCATAAAGGCACTCACGATAGAGCACATTTTGCTTTATTCTAACATTTGTTAGCAACACACGGATCATACGGATTGAAAACAAATCCCTTTGCCTCCAAATCACTTCGAAACTGATTATAGAATAGGAGGCTCGATTGCAACATCCCATATATAGCACGTAGTACCCGCACATAGATTACTCGCTTTCCGTTCTCTAATACAACGTATTCGCGATACTCTGGGGCCATGTCAATCAATATCTGGACCATCATGCCAGTGATTTTCATGTAGATGCGATCTTCTCCTTCCTTAGCATCAGGCATATAAGTTTGAATGAAAGCGTTAGGTACGCCCAGTGTCATTACATCTCTACCTTCGTGTGCATCAATAACACAAGTAGTGGTGATTGCTTCCTGCGAAGCAGTTGGACTTGCAGTGTCCTCTCGCGATAACCATTCACGAGTTCCATCGCCTCGGAATACTAGGCGACCTTTAATTGTCTTTTCGAATTGCTTCTCCGCGAGTAACATCATCGCTGATTGGGCCTTCTTTCGCTCAGACGCGGTCATGTCTTTAACAAATCCGGGAGTAAAACAATCTCTCAGGAGCATTTGTCTCAATTCCTTATCCACAGCATCCTTTCCATCATCACCAAACTTCTTCAGTCCTTGATTGATGTAATACTGTTGAATGAAGTTCAGACCTTCATCAGTATCAAACTTTGCCTTGATCTGCATCATACAACGAGCGATCAGAATAGCATCGTGCTCTTCATAATCAGCTTTCATCTCATTCCCAATCTGTTGGAAACATAGATTGTGCTTTGCTTCAAGGATAGCTTTACTGTCTTTGGTACTGCGACTTCCTTCTTTGGTACGAATACCAGATTTTAACTTGTTCTTCAACGGTTCCAATTCCCTCTCTCAATGCATGCGTTTTGTCGCAACTCGATTCTTGTTCTTATTGGCAGAACTGCCACTCCTGCTTGAAGGCCATTCTCTTGGTCTCTTTGGAACTTGGGAAAGGTTCAGCCCAGACATTGCAGCTTGCACATACGTTTGCCCAGATCGAGTGACTTTGGCTACTTGAGGCTCTTCAGGCTCAAATACAATCTCTTCTTCTGGCGGCTCTTGTAGGTCCTCCAGATCAGTAACGAGGCTTCCAAAATCATCGGTTCCTCTATCAACATTTTCTTGATGGTGATCCATCCAAATTGGCCACAATAGGTTCTTCCTTTTCATCGCCTTCATCACCCAAATCGTCGTCTGATTCATAGTTGTCATCTCCACTGAATCTGACAGTGATTTCTGGCATATCATTGACACTATTGTCTGCATCTGCCAAGAGCTCTTCTCTTTTGGAGTCATCGATATCATTGAATTGTCCATGTAGATTGAAATCGCGTTCATCTTCATCTTCAGGTTCATAGTCCTGATCAAAGGCTTCTTCTAAGTAACCTTGTTCCGTGTCATCCACTCCTGCGATTTGATCGCCATCTTGAAATGTCTCCAGATCTCTCTTCTTATCAAAGAACTTCATGGAAGTAACACCTTTGGCAGCAGCCCAAGCTTCAACATGCTGGATTACTTGGTCGGTAACGGGTAGTACAACGACCTTGGGTCGGGAAAATCATCTTCTTAGTATTGAGGTTGAGCACGCGGTGCCCAGTACGTTGTCCCTTTGTAGGTTCAATGTAAATTGCTTCGATACTTTGGGGCTCCATCGAATTGTTGGAATCCGTCCCAATTGCATGAACATATTGTCCAAGTTCAGCAACCATGTCACTCTTGTAGTTGATATTGACATTATCAATGAGTTGCTGCGGACTGAAATGTGATGAGATAC